TGAATTCCTCATTTCTGGCCCCACCCCAGAGCCCGCACCCCCTCCTGCACCCCAACCCCCAATTCTGTGAGCATTCATGGCCTGCCATACAATTTCCATACCCAGATGTGGCCCTCGGGCCAAAAAGTTTGCCCACCCCTGCTGTAGCAAGTACTGATGTGGTCTATCGTAGTACTTGGCCGCAAGATGGCTCAGTAGAGGGGGGAGTGGGAAAGGGCTAAGAAAAGGGCTCATACCAATCCAAACAGCATCACATTTTTCAAATACACACGCATGACTGCCCTGGTTTAATGAGACAGAGCAACATGCACCCAACATGCCAGTATGCAGGAATCAAACCACATCTTGATGGATCTGCAGTGGTTCTCAACCAGGGGTTTGCGTACCCCTGGGAGTACGCAGAGGTCTTCCAGTGGGTACATCAACTCATCTAGATATTTGCTTAGTTTTACAACAGACTACATAAAAAACACTAGCGAAGTCAGTTTCCTACAGACAATGACTGGTTTATACTGCTCTATATACTATACACTGAAACGTAAGTACAATATTTATATTCCAATGGATTGATTTTATAATTATATGGTAACAACGAGAAAGTCAGCAACGTTTCAGTAATAGTGTGGCGGTGACACTTTTGTATTTTTAGGTCTGATTTTGTAAGGAAGTCGTTTTTAAGTGAGGTGTAACTTGGGGCACACAAGACAAATCAGACCCCTGAAAGGGTACAGCCGTCTGGAAAGGCTGAGAGCCACTGATTTAAAGTAGCTAAACCAGGTCTGGTCTTAAACCAGAGATTTATTTATGCAGAAAATTGGGTAGACTCTTTTCTCTGCTTGGGTCGCTAATCCAAGCTTCCCTCCCACAGCTGAAGAGTGCCCCAAGGACCCTAGCCCATCCCCAGGATATCACCAAGCCTGTTAAAGAGAACAAGGGAAGGGTAAATTAGGGCAGGATGTCTTGCTTCTCAGCCTCCCATCCCCAAGGAGCTATTAGACCCGCAATCTCACTGAGGCGGGGAAGCGGCCATGTTTGTTCTGCTCCTCAAATGTAACCTTGAAAACAATTAGTTGCTTAGTGTTTTCCGGCTGGGAACAGAGCTGAGGAAGCCGTCTCTGTCTGAGCTATTTGTCATTCCAGGCCACGCTGCAGCCTCGCACGCAAGTTTTATGCTCTGTAGGCCGCAGTGGAGCATGGACCCTTCCCTGCCCCCGTCCAACACGGCCTCTGCTGTTGGGGGGTGTCTGTCCTGTGCAGTGCATCCATCTACTGTCCCCTCCCATGTTCACAGCATAGGGCCCGGATCTACAAAACCCACCAACAGGCCAATCAAGCCCGAGAGCGGGAAATCCACGTCCGTTACTTACATATTGGAACTGCAGCTGCTCCTCTGGCAATCAGAACAGCATCACCTCCTGCTGGCTGATTAGTCATTTCTAGAGGGGCCAAAGGTACCATGCCATGGGGGGGATTTGGTTTTTTTAAGCAATACCTGATACTTGATGCATTTGGAAGGCAAGAAAACCAGGGCTTTTCCCAACTAGCTTATGGGCCCCAGTTAGAAGATCCCAGGGTGGCAAGTGATCCGGTTGCACACAAAGAGTAGATTTTCAGAAGAGCTCAAAGCCAGATTTTCCAGCACCTCCCACTGTGCGGCTTATGGCCAGATTTTCAACAGAGCTGAGCACCCAGCCCATCGAGCTCTGACCCATCTCGTTTGGGAGAGAAGGGGGCAG